TGACAATGGCGGACTCCAATGCAATACACAAGACCCCTTCCCCGTGGTCACCACATCGACGACCACATCCACCACTGAAGGGCCATTGCTTGATTGCTTCACAGAGGCCTGGAACTGCACCAACAGCAGCAATTTTTCCACGCTGGCATTGCAAGTGATCAATGAGCGAGAAGATGGGATTTGCGTTCGAGGAACGTTCAGTCGCTGGATGTGCAGACGGGGATCTACACTCCGATTTGCACTTTTCCGTTGGGCGAGTGCTTCAACGGCTGTGGGATCAATCCGGTGGACGACCAGATCTATTGCTTCACGGAAGAGAGAGATCCGGAGATTGCTTTCCTTACGCGGCTGTCCTGCCCAGTCACCGACCTTGGCTGCTTGTCTAATGGGTATTTCTTGTGACGTTTGCTCTCAGAACCAGCTTTAGCTGTAGTAGCATGCTGCAGCACTGCTGGTTACAGTTACAGCACGAGTTTTACAATCAGCTGTTGCATTTCGTCCATGCTTATTGCTGCTGCAAGTGCCGTTGCTGTGGTGCTGCGACTGATACCCACATGCCAAGGCGTCGAGGCCGCTGGCGATGTTTGCTACATTGGCATCCAGCGGGCATCTGTGTCTGCAAACTTCGACCGTGGCGGAGACTTTGTTTTCATCGCGGAAACTGGAGGACGTAAGGGGAATCCCAAAATTTCCAAGTGTCAAGCCCTATAAATCCTATGAACCTGAGTAGTCCCCAAACAAAACACAAGAAGCTCTGTTGATCCAGCGTGAGGCCTCTTCATTCAAGAAAACTTGGAGTTGCTTCCAGCGTATACACGTCGGCCACGACCAGAGGATAACGTGACTTTTGACTACCGCCCGAATGCTACGGAAGTGAATGCCAATCAGCCAAACAAGATTGACGGGTTCGACCTCACGGTCCGGGCGATTGATCTCGGAAATGTGACCGGGCCGCAGAATTTCACAATCTCCTGCAATGAGAACTACGTCATGTTCCAGTCCCTGACGAATGAGTCGGCGTTTTTCAACCTGACTATGACAAACATTCGTCCAACTGGCATTTCAGGCGCTCAGTGGGAGTTTGACGGGCGCGTGTTCTGTGCCTACAATGATATTGGGAGAGTTTTCGAACTCCTCTTGGACACTGCCAACCTTGTGGACAACACTATCGACAGCGGCATTTCGAGTCCCTCAGCGATTGTCCAATCCAACGACGGCCTCAACTGCCTGACTGCACAAGCTCCATTCGTAGATGTCCCTACCACCACCACCACCACCACCACAACCACCACCACCACAACCACCACCACCACCACAACCACCACCACAACCACCACCACCACGACCACAACCACCACCACAACGACAACCACAACAACCACCACTACCACCACAACAACCACCACTACCACCACCACAACCACCACGACCACAACAACCACCACCACCACCACAACAACCACCACTACCACCACCACAACAACCACCACAACCACCACTACGACCACAACCACCACAACCACCACAACCACCACTACCACCACCACCACCACCACGACCACCACAACGACCACCACCACCACAACCACTACAACCACCACCACCACCACCACCACCACCACCACCACAACAACGACTACAACGACCACAACCACCTCAACAAGCACAACGACCACCACAACGACCACCACAACGACCACCACCACCACCACTACCACCACCACCACCACCACAACCACCACCACTACCACCACCACCACAACTACCACCACGACCACGACAACGACCACCACAACGACCACCACCACCACCACCACCACCACCACCACCACCACAACAACAACCACCACAACCACCAGTTCTTCAACCGCCATCACGACGACGACTTCAGTTGCAAGCAGCACAACGAGCATGACAGCGTCAACGACCACGACCTCCAAGAAGAAGCCGAAATATTCATACTCATACTACCGCCGCTTCTGGCGGTTCCGGAGGCACCGCTACAGCCGCTACAGGCGCCAATACTGGCGCCGCTACAGGCGCCACAACTGGCGGCACAACAAGTACAGGTACACCAATTATTATTACTATGGCCAGTAGGAAGACTGAGGGGCAACCGCAAGGGTCATGCTAGCTTCAGCACTTCCACAGAAGGAGTGTACACCGGAAAAGGCTCGTGAACTCCGCTCACAGGAAACTCTGTGAGCATGCAATCTATCCGCGGAGCCCGCTCATCACATTCACTCCCAAATCTTGAAGGTCTGTAGAGTCAGTAGCACTTGCCCTTGAGCGTCGCGTTCTGGATGCGTGATGGCGGGGAAATTTTGCTGCAACTTTCCTGAAGCGAGAGGTTGCCGATGTTCCTGTGAGCTTCAAAACCATGGCAAGACTTCTGTCAAGGATTTGCTATACAATTATGATCCCTTTTAAGTAAGGCTCGAGCACATGTGCTGGCGAAGCATCACAGAAGAGTTCGCGGGCCAAAGCGTTAGCGCGGGCGAGGAAAACCCTGTGCTTGCAAGCACTGGACATTTGTCGCTCCAGAGTTTTGCATCAGATGGAGTGTTGACCTGTTGAGGGATGGCAAGGAGTTTGGTGCGAGACGGGCTTCAAGGGCTCAAGCTTGCAGGTACTTTTTGGAAGTGCAAGGATGCATGGAGAAAAGTGCAAAGAAGCCGTCAAGGCTGTCAGAAGGCTGTAGCAAGGCTTTTTAAACGTCTTCTGCCTACCGACTACAGCTCTGTTCCTTTGGAGTCATAGCTCCAAAGATCTCTGCTAAAGCCTTGCCATGCATCTCCGGACTTTGGAGTGCCTTGAGGCATCTCGTCATGTTCTTCATATACAGCGGCCATGGGGCAATTACTCCGCCTAAGTCTCATTTCACGAGATCTGCTCGAAGAAGTGACTGCCTTGAACTGCCAGACCATGCTGTGAGCTTCACGTTGCACGGCGACATCGCGAAGGCCTCCAAGTGTCAGCCCCGCACCTATACCCAAAGCCGCCCATGCTTCTAGAAGTTGCGCAAGGAGCAGCATCCATTCCCGGGCTCGTCATTGTGCTGATCTGGCTTCATGGCTTGATGCCTACCTACAACAGGACATACATTTGTCGTACAGGCATGCGGTTAGGCGGATCGTCAGGCTCCATGTGTGCTGTGTGCTTGCCTGCAGTGCAACAGATTTTGACCCTGAAACTTCCTGCCAGACATGATTGCCATTATTGCTTCCCGCAGTGAACAGTGAAATTTTGATGCTCCCTCGTGCTCACCAGAGGTCTGTCCAGCCATGGCCTCCCCAACACTGCGCACGCTTTCGGGACTGCCAGCGGAACCGACGCCGCTGAAAGACTCTGCCCTAGCTCCTTGGCAAAATGAACGCCTTTCGCACCATGCCCTGATATGCCATGTCACTGACCCCGTCTAATGTGCGATGTGTCCTGCTCAGAAATGGTGAACTTGGAGGGTCCGTGAGTCGTGTCTGCAAGGTGATCATCGATGCGCAGCAGACATACCGCGAAGGTGTCATGAAGCTGGAGGGTGTGGAGCCGGCTTTGGAGGAGTGTGCAGCGCTTTTAAAACGCGCACGTGCAGAAGGTGCTACGGTGGTGCACATCCAGCACGATGCGGGGGAGGGTTCGCCCTATGACCTCACGCAGCCCGTTGGCCAGATTGCAGAGCCGGTGGCCCCGGTGGCTGGGGAGGAGGTCATTGTGAAGAAGGTCCCCAACTCCTTCCATGACACTACCCTCCATCAGTACCTCCAGGGCAAGGGAGTGAAGTCCCTCGTTTTGGTCGGCTTTATGGCCCACATGTGCGTGAACTCAACGGCCCGCGGCGCCTTCAATTTGGGCTATTCCTCGACTGTAGTAGCCAGCGCCACAGCAACACGGTCCCTTGCGGATCCGATCACTGGCGAGCCCGTTGAGGCTGCCTTACTCAAGAAAAGTGCCCTAACGGCAATCTCCGATGTTTTCGCTGTGATTGTGCCAACGGCTGACAAGCTGCCGTGAGTGCAGAAGCCAGCGTGGCCAATGTGTCTTTTGAAGTTTTCTCCGAGGACACTGGGGCAATTGCTCCCGTGCACCCCCGTGCACCGCTTGGGCTGAAAATGTCAATTGCTCTGCGAAACCAGCATTGCAATGAAAGGAACGTTTAGGAACCCTAAGCCTTAGCGTTTTTGCTGAATGACGTTGAAAGAATCTTTCAGTTTCTGTCAGGCACTTCGCCCAAACTGCAACGCATCAGGGACCCATGCTGGAGTTGCGCCTTTTTGCAGTGTGTTGTAGAATCTGGACATCCACCAACCAGTCATTGTCCAGATCAACAACATGCAATGCAGGTTTCTGAAAGGTGGAAACACTGCCCCCAAGCCCCCAGCCTCACCCCAAAGATGGCAACCAATTTAGCCAAGGTCAGACGGGGAATTCCTGAAATAAGTATGATGGGTGGGGAACAAGAACTGCCAGTGCAGGGCCCGCCTCGCAAGGCAAGGGTGGGGGTCATGGGAATGGGTGATCGGCCGGCAGGCCTCAGCGGATAGAAGCAAACTCTGATTTTTGCGTTGCCTTTTCCCGCTAGTAGATGAGAGTTCCTTGAAACCTTGGCAATTCAAGACTGCTTTCACCAAGGCCGGGGTTCTGAAGTTCATCTGGAATGTCACTGTGCCATGCCTGAGTTTCCGGACTTGGTAGGATGGTTCAGAAGTTCAGGAGTTTGAGGACCACGCTGATTCTGAAACCTTCTGAGGTGTGGGGTCTCACGGCTTCAGGCTTAAGCTTAAGGGGCGAGCAATAATATGCAGTTGACGAGGCCTGCTGGCCCACTTCTAGCATTGCTTGGGATGTGCCCCGCCTCTTCGGGCGCCTGGAAAAGAGAGCAGAATGGTCGGCTCTGTCACGCTATGCATTCTAGGGATTGTGCTCGACAGCTTTGGGAAGAATCGTAGGTCTGCAAAGATTATAAATCTCCGGCAGGGGTGAGCGTGCATTGCCCATCGATGCTGAGGTGTCTTCCATTTGCAGCGGCATCTTCGCTTAGCGCTGCCTTGGTGGCAGCACCGAATCCGCCGACTGTAGGCAAGCAGGCGACGCTTGTTCGACCAAACTTCGCCTTGAGCTGCTATGGTTCCAAATTTTTGTTTATGCGCAATAGGGGCCCGTAAGAGTACGGTACGAGAGCACGTGCACCCGCATGGCTATATGTCAGCCAGGTCAGGTACGTGTGAGTAATTAGTTATGAAAAGTGATGACAATCTGAAGCTTCTCCAACAAACCGGAAACTGCACTTACGAATCCCATTTCGTGACCGTCCGCTCCTTAATTTTTATGGTTTTTGCCAGACTTGCTAGCCGAGAGGAACTTGTTTGACGTCAAAATTCTTTAGTTGCCATCCTCACTTCCGGCCATTGGGCATCGTACTGAACAGTTGCAAGGAGTGCATGTCAATGATTTCGCGAAACCTGATGGTGTACAACGTGTGTGCAGTGTCACGGGCAAGCATTTGGTGCGACGGGTGCGGAGATTCAGCGATGAACGAAATAACGATTTTCCCAATGTCGTGTGACGGTGTGTTGCGCTTGATGTAAGCCAATGATGATGATGATGATGATGATGATGATGAGAGTCAAGCAAACACGGCAGGGTCTGCTTCTTCAAAAAGCTGTGTTACTCCCAGCAGACGTCCTTGCCTTGAAATGGCCCGTCTCCATAGCTCCACATGCAGCGCGAAGAGCAGACCATGTCCCATCCAGCTCATGTAGAAATGTACACCTTAGCTTCTGTCCCAACGCTTGTCGAGGACAGCCTTCCGAACCTGAGCCATGTTGCTCGATCACTTCAGTGTCGCTTGCCACTCCAGTGGGCCAGCCCAACCTGAGTTCCCTGGCCCTCATTGGCCATGATTCCTGAAAGGCAGAGCACTCCCAAGCCTCATGGCACCAGCTCGGGACAATGTGTGTCTCGCACCTACCGCGCTGCTCCGGCAAATCACGCATCACTAACGGCACCTCCAATAAGAACAGCCCTAATATGAGAACTTCCTTCCTATACAGCTCCGCAGCTGCCTTAAGCCCACGCCAGCACAAAAAAGAGCATCATGGCGAAGCGAGCGCAGGCTTCATTGACAGCATTGAAGTCGCGGGCCCAGCGCTTGAGTCCCAGACTTTCCGCAAGATGAATTTGGCTGACATGGAAAGCCACTACGCCAGAGCATGCTTTTACCAGCATGCGCATGCAAAAGGAAGCGAAGCATCAGATCTTCAACCTAGAAGCCATGATGCGCTTCACCAGTTTAATCAGTTTCCACGGCGGCCCCAAGAGGGTTGCGGAAAAGCTTTGAGGCTGCGTCGTACAGAGGCTCAGCATTTCTTGTCGTTGTGGCTTCAGCGCAGAGTTCTGGTTTCTGAGGAGGTCCTGAGAGTCCAAGAGATTTGATTGCTGTTTTGAACTGCTGGATGGCGTGAAGCGCGACAACGCCTAGGTCAAGATAAACGCGGGCCTCGTGGACTGATACGAAAACTGTGCGAATCTCAGCTGGGCTCCGGTTCAGTTAAGTCTGCGTGACCAAAATTTGCAGGAATGCTGTCATACTCGTTGCATATTTCTGATATTAAGATAGGTTTCTGTCATGCTTGCCTTTGAGATGGGAGAAGTGACCACTTGAGCAAGTCAGGCTCATGGCCTCTTTCCCGTACAAAGCATTGTATCGCTGTGTTGAGTCATTGCCTCGTCAGGCAGGGAGCGCAAACAAGCTACAGATTTCCGCCATCATTCGCAAGTGCCGCGAGCCTAGCCGGGCACGTGCAAGGCTAGCGCACCAGCGTTGAGATGCAAGCATACTTGCTCAGAATTAGGGTTTTGCATTCTCTTTGTACTTGAGGTAGCACATGCAAGGTGGGCTCACTCGGAGTTTAGTAGGTATCTAAGATTATCCCACAGGGACATCTTCCCGATTTTGAAGCTTCACCAACGCCGATGTCAGGTCCAGATGCCAACCCCATGCGGTTTAGGCCATTTGTGCCTTTGGCTTGCAGCCAAAACATTGCCGGTTGAGCGGTATCCCAAAGGTATTTGTCCCTTGACAAATCCTTATAATCATCGTTTAGCAGTGCTTTAATTGGAGACTGCTTGACAGATGCAGACTTGCTGCCAATGATCTAGAATTGTGACAAATTATTGTTACGGCATTGTTGCAGTCTCCCCATGCCATGCGCAACAGCTGACTTGTGATTGCTTTTTATCAGACCGCATCTTGCAGGTTGGATGCTACGTAGTCTCTTGTGTGCCTGCTGCTGAGCCCCAGGCTGCACAATGTTCACAACTCCGTGCTGTGTTTCATGGGGCCTGTCAGGCCCTTGAAGATTGTTGTATGTACATGGGAGCCCAAGTGTTTTCTGACTTTGCTGCTTGCATAAGGGTTTAGGGGGCTTGTGGCAGCCTGTTGAATCCCTGTCTCCCAGCATGGCGTCCCTGGCACTGCTTGGGCTGTCGATTTTGCTCGGGTTGATCGGGGTCTCCGGAGATGAGCGTTGCGGAGGATCCCTATACATCTTCTGGGATGAGCATTGTGGCCATGAAGAAGGCACCCCTCCCATGTGGATTCTCTCTCCGCTAAGGCCAGACCCCACCCGACCGCAGAACCTGCAGGATGAGGAAGGCTGCTGGGCTTGGGCCACATGGGCCACGGAGGACGAGGCAATCGCTGGTGCAGACGAGTGGATCAGCTGGGACCCTTGCTGCGCATCTAGGGAAGGTAAGGAGTTCGTGACCAGTGTTGTAAGCTTCGAAAACGAAAGCATTCGAATGTCTGGGCTTTGCGATGTGGAGGGCGGCAGGAAGCTAGCAAATCGAGTTTACAAACTTGAGGGCACCACGATCAGCGGTCGGAACTGGTACTCCAGCGAATGTTCCGACAAGGAGTGCTTCTACGAACTGAAGGTCCCAAAGGATTTCGAGACTGAGGGGAATTTTGACGAGCAGGAAGAAGAAGAAGCCCCCAAAAAAAGGCACGACAAGGAAGATACCACAGACGCGCTGGACGTCACGGCACATCTGGTGTCAGGCGCGGCCCTTGTGGTGTTTGGCCTGCCTCAAATCCTGCTTGCCTTCGGGCGCCTTCACCAACGGAAGAGAATCTTGCCGCTGCAGCCCGGGGATGAAGAAGTGTTTTCACCTCGCCCAAATGCAGCTGGAAGCGATTTGCACCAATCAGTGCCGCAAAACGCTTGGTGCGTGACGCTGGAAGACCTTTGCCAGTTTCGCCGCCTGGTGATGCATGCAGTGTCTACAGGACAGATCTTGCCGCACGATCGTGATATGTTTGACACTTCTGACTTGACCATTGGGCCCTCTGTGTACACAGTCAACGACCAGTTCATCAAACCCGTGACAGCGCGCGCGGGAAACATGAGCTGGGCACTTCTCAGGAATCCGGCTGGCGTGAGCTGTGATGTGTTCGTGACGCATTGTTGGGCAGAGGGAATTTATGAATTTCTCGACAGGGTGGAACATTCTTGGCCTCGAGGTGCACGCGCTGCATATGTGTGTTTTTTGTCCAACCCGCAAAATCTTGACATCTCTGGCCTGATTGCGAGCCCCCGTGACTCGCCTTTTGCAGTAGCATTGCAGGCAGCACCTATCATGCTGGTTCTTCCGAACCACAGCATCAGCATTTACGCAAGGCTTTGGTGCTGCTATGAAGCCTTCCTTGCATATTCCTGGCGGAAGACCATTAGGGTTGCAAAGCGCCACCATGACGGGCTGTGGTGGTGCATGCTTTGGCTAGGAGGCTTGCGTCATGCTTGCAAGCCTGCATAGCTTTTCCAGAATAGGATTCCATCTTTGTGTGTTTTAGTATCAGAGCTTACAACTTTAGCAGATCAAGCCTAAGGCTCTAAGGTATGTCGCAGCTGCTGGGGCGATGTGCTTGTTGCCAATCGCCGTCGACATGGAAGTCGTGAGTCAGCTTAACCCAATGCTTTCGGTGGCTGCAGGAAGCTCCGCTGGCTTGCTAGTTACTAGTTACTAGTTGTGTGACACTTAAGCATGTAAGGGAGGGTTACGGTAAACGCTCAAACATGCCCGCAGTGTGATATCCAGAAGCGACGCACAAGTGCAGGCACTTTCTTTGTTCTGGCAGCTGCGTGCGCACGTTTCGGAATACATGGAGCACTGGCGCAGGCATGCATTGCAGTCACTGGCATTTGTCTCAGCATGGGCCTGCTGGGCGGATACATTGCTGAAGTCGGGCTCCAGCGTCACATGTTCCATTCCGGGCAGGATCTAGGCCGAATCTTGACATGGTTGTGTGCACTTGTCATCACCTGCTGCGCAGAGTTCGATCGTATCATGGCATCAGATGCTGCCCTCCGCAGCAGATTCCTTCAAAAAGGCTTTTCTGGTCGACTATTGGATGCCAGGTGCTCGTCAGACTCCGACCGAGAAAGTATTCTGGAGGAACTGACGCAAAGTGGCAAGGTGAAGGAGGTGGAACAGGCTGTGCAATTTCTGCTACAGATGAACCTTATGACACCTGAGTTGCAACGAACCACAGCGTTGACAGGAGAGCTTGGAGATGTTTCGCTCTTCAGCCGATCATGGGTTGCTGTGGGTGTCATGCTTTGGGTCGCGCTCCCCATACAGACCCTGACAGCTCCCGGGATTACCCCCCTGCAGCAAGTTCCCGCAGCTGCCATGCTGGTGCAAGGTAGCCTGTGGCTGGCTTTCTTCCCTCGCCTTAGTGCGGACCGGAAGACTTTTGCAGCAATCACGCTGAAGTTTTGGGTTGTGCTTGGAGCCTGCATCCTTGTTGTCTTCGCGTTTGTAGGCTTCGCTGATATTGACTGGTACCTCATTCCGGGCGCCCTGATTGTAAGCCCGTTGTGCCTGTCCCTCTCCCTTGCCGGGCCGTCCCGTATCGCTCGAGTCCCCACCTTGGGAATCCCACTGGTACGGTTTTTCCTCGGTCAAAAGCATCTTTGCCCTCAACGTCGAAGCCGTGAGGTGTCAAGAAATTCTTCCGAAGACGTCCAGGACGCGACCGTGACCGTGGACATCTGTTCGGAGGGGCCTACACCCCGAAAAGCCAGCCCTCCACAGTCAAAGGTTTAGTAGGCACCTTGCTGCAAACTGTAGCAAATCACGTGCCCACCTTTCTGGTTCATGTACAGGTGACAGCTGAATTAGACTGGTGAATAGGGACAAATTGAAGCATGAACTATGCGGATTGAGTGCGAGACTGGCTGTACAGAACCACCATTCTCTGTGTGAGGTCACGGGATGCGGTCTTGGTTGTAGGACCATAAGTAAAAGAGGTTTAATCTGAAGAAGGACACAAGCGCGCAACTGGTCACCTCACATATTTGACCGTGTGGTTTGGCTTTCCACCTGAAGTTCCCATGTGGCTTGCCACGAAAGTTTGAACAGCATCGAAAATTAGCAAGCTTCTGCAATTTTGCTTTGCGTAGCAGTGGTGGCTCAAGGGCTTCCGCGCATTGGACTTGGCAAACATCATGTGCAAAAGGACCAAAGCCCGCTGTGAAGCCAGGTTTGTGATCTTTCCCATGCATGTTGTGAAGCGAGCTGGTCTCAACACAGCAACAGGTTGAAGCAGCGGTGCCGAGACATCCAAGACCCAGCTTCAACTCTTCCCGTTCAGTGCAAGAGACTCAAAGACCGCTGCTTGTTAGTTCAGCTGACTCGATAGTTGACTACTGCTGCGAATGCTCGTACTGCTGTTGCCATGATTGAATGGATGTTGTTGAAGCATGAATTAGGCTTCTGCGGGGCAGTTAAGTGACCTGCATTGAGGTACTGTACCGCGCGCTGAAACCTCTTGCAGAAGCCTCGGCATCTAGAAAGCTGGCAGACAGATTCCAATCAGCACATAATCGGCCGACTGCTTGTGTTCTGGCACTTGCCCCAAGTATCTGATCGCGCGTGCATCTTTTTTAGGAAGCTTGCACTTGCTCTCTTCTCCTGCAATGGCCAAAGTCGTGTGCGTCACCGGCTGCACGGGGTACGTCGCATCCGAGGTGGTGCGCCAGTGCCTTGAGCTGGGCTGGACCGTGCGGGGCACCGTGCGTGATCCTTCGGACGATTCCAAGACGGGCTACCTCAAGAAGATGGCGGAAGGCTTGCCTGGTAAGCTCGAGCTCGTTCAGGCGGACCTCCTCGCCGAGGGCGCGTTCGACACAGCAGTCCCTGGCTGTGAATACGTGTTCCACACCGCTTCGCCCTTCTTCTTTGGGTCGGAGTCAGAGGGGCCTGAGGCTGTAGAGGCCAAACTTATCAAACCAGCAGTGGACGGCACGAAGAATGTCCTTGCCTCGGTTGCCAAGCACAAGGCCGACATCAAGTGCGTCGCATTGACCTCAAGCTGCGCTGCCGTCTCTGGCTTCACAGGCACCGACAAGACCGCTCGAGAGGATGGGAAATTCTCCGAGGCCGATTGGAATGAGACCTCCACGCGCGAGGCAGGGGCATACCTGCTGTCCAAGACCCTAGCTGAGAAGGCCGCGTGGGAAATCGCCAGGAGGGCTTCAAGCTGGTGACCATATGCCCGTCTTTTGTCCTGGGTCCCGCCAACACCGACCGGAATGATGGCGAGTCAATTGGTTTCGCCCTGAAGCTACTCAAGGAGGGCACAATCGGGCTGGTTGGCTTCCCCTGCATTGACGTTCGAGATGTTGGCAAGGCACACATCCTCGGCTGCACGAGCTCAAACAGCGAAGGCCGTTACATTCTCTCTTCCACCTTCGGCGTGCCCGCCTGGTGGGCTTATGAGGCGCTTGAGCCGCTCGGCCTCCCAAACCTGCAGAAGCCGGAGAAGCCTGAAGGAGCCGAACTGACCCACACCTTCTGTAATGACAAGGTGCAGTCCACAGAGGGCGCTGGGCTTGGCATCAAGCTAACGGACTTGAAGACAACCCTTCTCGACATGATCACATCCATGAAAGTCTCCCACGCTGCGCATCTTGCTTGAAACTATGTTCGTCGGCGGCTCTGCGCAGGAGCCGCCTCGCTTTGCCTAGCATCTGCTAGCCTTCATGAGGGGGTTCTACTCGTTTTGGCTGAGGTTCTGCCTAAGGCAGACAACGTTTTCTTGCGTGCCTGCACCTCTCAATCTTTGGGCCGGATGGGCCTCTGCCTGAGACACGCGGCAAAAAGTTTTGTGAAGTACGCATATTAGCAAGGTGGAGTTTTGCTGACCTGGGCCAGGTTCGACAAAGCGCCATAGAATCCCATAAAAGCCTGCGTATGGAGCCCATACTGCTGCGTCCTGGAACGTTCGGCCAGGAGGCTGGCTAACTCTCCTAAAATGATTTCATCCTCTCCATACAAAAACATACAACAACAGCTTGCTCCAAATCCCTGTTCAGCTTCTGCAGTGCGTCATAGTCCGTTTTAAACTATCTTGAGGCTTCTCAGTTGGCTGGTGAAACTTGCCCGAACTTTTCTGCCAGCAAAGCCTGTTTACACTGATAACAGCAGGCTGTACATAAATTTGCTACTGCTGCAGGGTCTCGAAGCAAGACCATGCAAAGGCTCGGGGCCTCCACGTTGTTCGAGTTGGGCAGCATAATCGGACAGGGCATTGCCAATGTGGGGGCTCCATAAGAAAAGTCCTCCAAACGAATTGGGAGATCTGGAGGATGCCATGGCTCTATTAAACTCAGTAAGGGACAGGTTCAAACGAATCAGGGGATGCTGAATAATTTCGGCGAAGCTTCACAACGTGCAGACCCCCACGCTGATCGGGCTCAAACGTGAAGGAAGTAGAAGAAGAGTTGCAGTTGCCATGGTTGGGTGTGCCTAGCGTTTGCGGTAGCCTTTGACAACCAGCTCATTTGCTTCCATTTCAAGAAAGAACCTCTACCTAGACGTTGGACTAAATGGTTCTATACCGTGTGCCAGCAGGGTTCCAATGCAACGCCCCCCCGACTGAATGAAGTATAGTATGTCTGGCTGGAGTCTGCCCACGAGTGCACTTGCGCGGAGTTTGCCGTTTCATGTTGTGCAGCTACGTCTGGCTTTGAGGCCCAATTCTCTGATGAAGGTACTCCAGGGTCAAGCTCCGTCCTTGGTAAACTGGAAGATTCGGAGCTTCAGATCTTAGAGCAGCATTGAGTGTTCAGAATTCTGCTGGATTCTGAAGTCTAGCCTTCTACCGTTCACCTATTTTTTTTGTCGTCCAGGTCCAGCCGTATCCGTTCGACAAGAGAGTAGGCGCTAAGAGGATGCACGTGAAGGTCAAAACATGGCAGAGGGCCGTTCCATGAACGCAGCTTGCCCGTATTTGTCACGCAGATATTTGCCTCATTTGCCGAGGCACCTATCCGCATGGGCGACATCTTTCCGTCCGCACTCGCAAATTGCAATGACAAAGCTCGCTGCTTAAGAAATGATTATGCTCAGATGAGGGTACCCTCGATTTCTTAATTATGAGGCCTATTTTTCATCAACAATATTAAACTGACTTTGAGGGCACTCTCGATTTCTTGATATTATATTATGCGGGAATTTGAGAAGGGGAATGAACGAAATGGAATAATTACGAAATCGTTAACTTATTTTTCTTGGAATCAATAAATGCAATTAAATTATTGAGTAAATCTATCTTCGAAGAAATTTCTCACTATTACGGCTATTTCCGGTCATTTGGCTCGCGCGCGGCCTAGGTTTTCCGCTCATCTTTAAAATGCTTCTTATAGGTTCCCTAGTACCTCTAAAATCTCGGAGATTTTAGAGCCCTTCGGAAAAGCTAGAGACTCTAAAATCTTCAAGGTTTTGGGAGTAGGCGGCGCGACTGAAAATCTCGGATATTTTTGGTCGTGCAGCCCTTGCTTCTGGAGCGGGTTTCGGCGTGATTTATTTCTCTTTGGTTAGTTGCTTGGCGGCGGGCCGGAAAATCATTTTTTTTTTGAATTTATGGGTTGGCAATATCTAGCTACGAGGATTTAGTCATTTATTTCTTTTTTGATTATTTGCGCGGCGGCTCGGGGGAATGGGAAGATATGGGCCGGAGATTTAAAATCTTTTAGAATGTAGATAGCATGCGCGATCTTAAGATATTGATAATTTGTTGGGTTATACGAATATTTTGGTATATTGCTTGATTATCAGATTTCTCATTATGGATTTTCTCAAATATATATATTCGGCTGATATAGATTCCTACAAAAAAGATACTTCATTTATAATTTCATATTATAGATAATAATATCGGAGGTCTTTATTTCTAATTTTCTCGAATATTAGAATTTAGGATATGAGAATATATTAATTATAAAGCATAGATGATATGTAAATATAAAATGTATATTATGAGGTTGAGATATTATATTGAGAATTCATAGCAGATTATTAATAGTGGAATATTTTGAGATACATTGGTCTCATTTTATCGAGCTATTGATGAGATGATAATCTATGATGAAATATGGCGGATATCTGAAAATGTTTATCTAGAATTTTTGGGTTTGACTAAGATTCTTCATATATTACTCATAAAACTAAGGCTATCTAAGCATTCCCCTGCAAAACCATGGCTTTATTGGCATACTAAATTCTAAATCCTAAGCCCTCCTAGCAAGTCTCTATAAATAAATTTGATGCCAGATTATAAAGACAATATTCAAGAATCAGGACTTTGCCATTCAAATATAATATGATTTGAAAAAAACCTTAGAAAATTGACGCCAGGATTGGAATATATTCTTGGCATTCTAGGAATTCGAAGATGCGCTTGCTCGAAAGCTATTATAAGTCAAATTATACGCGCGTAAGTACGGCGCAAATCCCAAAATCGATATGCAAGAATATTGAATATCTATCAATAAGACGCGTAATCTTGAATATATAAGTTGCGAAATTTTTGAATTGATAATTAGATGAAAATCCCCTGAATAATCTTGGCGATAGGCTAATCTTTCTCCTAAATTGGGAGATTCATTTCGTTTGAGGGTCTGTTGCTGCGTTGTTGTTTTTGCTTCTTTCGGCGTCTTCTTGTCCGTCCAATTCGTGGCGGGCGGCGGCGGGATTTCATGACTGGAATGCGGACGGCAAATCTTTTGATGATTCTTTTTCTCTTAAACGAATGGGAAGATTGGAAATCTTGAATAACGAGATTTCTCCAGACCGCATCGTATATTTTCTAGATATGATAGAAATTAGGAGATTTGGGAATTGCGATTGAGAATATTCCTATTGAATAATCAATTTATTATCGAGCTGATATCTTCTATCTCGTTATTTCTCGTTTCGTCTAGGATTTATATCAATTTTTAGATCCGCCTCTTCCATATCATTCTATTTTAGGATGGATTGAGGCAGCTCAGAGATTATAAGTTTTATTCCCAATTTGGCAGGCTGATTTTCAGAATTCCCAGGGTCTGGTCCGATAGAAGGATCTCGTATCCCAGGCTGAGGATATATCTCATCGAGATTTTCAGAGAATTTTGATTCCTCGAGAAAAATTATATATTCAGTCATATACGGGATCTTGGATTGATAGATGGATCCATTGCGCGTCCAGGCATGCATTCGATAATTATCTTTCCAATATTATATTTTCAAACTCAATTTCTATACGATTTGGATTGCTTTTATTTGATGATGATGATCCTTGTCTGCGATGCCCTCAAATTTCGGATCAATATGATCATCATTATCTAGCTTATATCATGATTGGGAAAATGGGCGGATATAAATATATCCATGATGAGAATTATTATCTTTTATCGGGAGGAGGATTTAAATTAAAAATAGAAGTCATAAGATTTCTCCCGGATATACTCGATATGAGGCCCGCTGATCTTCTTACGATTCCGTTGATATTATATCGTCAATCATCATGATATTTCTTGCCTCGGATTGCCATTGATTTTGCCGTTATCACCCCATTTCGGATTGCAAGAGGGCACTTGATCACTGAAGATTATGCTAATACTAAGAGATTCAGTCAATCCGCCCATGCCCGATATCGAGATCAAAGGCTTGGATTTGAATCCGTTATTTTTGATCATATAGGGGACGTGAATGAAGAGGGAGTAAGGATTCTGGATTCGTTATCCAAGGCAATTGACGATCCGACAGGACGTCAGGCTGGACGAATGCGACTGATCTTATAAGAACGAGTCTCGATTGCCCTCCAGCACTATATTAGTCAGAGCGCCATGCATAGACGAGCAGGCGCTCAAGGAAAACCCCATTTTATATCTTTGGGATGATTTCTTGACTGAATTGCCCTCGCTAGCTTCTCCTTCCTTATCATGATTCTAGACGCCAGGCCGTCCCCCCGCCCAGGCCGGAAGCGATAGATGAAACATAGTAGTAGAAATTCCTCTAGGGCTGAGGTTTCATTGAATTCTCTCTCGCATATTGCCATTTTGTCATTTCTTCCCGCGGGATGTTGGGTCCCTGGGCGTTCGGCGGATGGCGTCGGACTGTAATGCATGGCTTGGGGAATTTCCTCAACGATAATATGCGAATTAATTTGACTTGATTTTATTTATAATTACGAAAGATATATGATAGCAGTGTCGGCCGTTCAATAAAATAAGATGATTCTTCAGAGGATTTTTAGATTTTACGAATGAAGCATTGTAAGTTTTAGGTCCTTACGTGCGGAGAAAGCATTTCCCTTCTTATAATCCGATCGTAGGGAGATTTCGTATATCATCCAGCCGATTTGCGCGAAGCGTTTTATGAA